AAAGAAGTTGAGGGGGGGGGGGGGGGGGGATCGTAAAAAATTGGAAAATGAACGCACGCACGAGTATCTCGTGGGAGTTTATGAAAAAGTCGAGGAGTGCGTGTGGTCGCAGGTAGAGCGAGAGGATACGACAATGGCGCGCCTATAAATTTCGAAGATTCATATAAAGAATCAAAAGTTATGGTGGTAGGTATAAAGCTACGATGACGAAAATAAAGGGACGGATAAGAGGTGGGAGGGAGTACGCGTGCGTAGTATTATTCTTCCTCCTTTTCCTTCATGCCACGGATTAATGGATTTTGTACTTAAACGTTACTATTCAATGTAGTTGTGTTTTATCATTTTTACTCGAGGCACCAAGAATCGAAAATTAATTGCCTGTACTTTTTGCGTGAATCAAACCATATTTGATATGAATTAAATTTATATTTATTCGGGATGAATTTAATTGCACCTCAATTTTATGTAAAAAAAAACCAGCCTTGGATACTCGTTAACTCGTTAAACTCTTTATATGAGAATTTATTTCGATTAAAATATTGTCTTGTTTTGAGTATTATTTATAAATAAATAATCTGTGAAGATTATCGACAGAATCTAAAATTATTAATTTATGCTCTAGATAATGTTCCTTTCTATTTTCTAAATATATAAAATTTTCTAAATTACGTGCTAAAATGATTGTTTCGGCAATTTATATATATAATATACCCTCTTCCACTACCCTCGTCCACTAAATTAATTTCCGGATTAATTTTATGTAAAATGCATATTTTGAAATTAAGAAACATTAAAGGTCCTTTACTTACGAGAAACTTACATTATAGAAGATAGAATGTATAAAATTTAGCACTAAATGAAGCTCGTTAATGTCAATACAAGAAGTTAATGTCAAAAAAGAATCGTTGATTAAGCATATTTTCATTGAACATTACTTTAAACAATCAAATATTTATCGTTATAATAATTTAAAAATGAATTTCTTTTTTTTTTTATCGAATATCCGTATATTGTTAGTATGATAATGGTCCGATAGAGAAAATCATTGAAAAACGCGATACCAAATATAGTCCCAAGATTTCATAAATTCGTATGGGTTGTGGTAGCATGCTTGAATGACCTGGACGAGTGACCGTGATATTATATGATATAATGCCACTTCTGAGGTCTTTTTGGATAAGTTGATGGTACATATATGTCCATCTAACGCTTCGACTCTCAAATATATACACGAAAAAAAGACGGTTCGATGAACGGATATAATTTATGGTAGGAAAGAAATTGAATGCGATCGATGAGGGCGTATTTTTGTTGGTAGAGTGAGATTCTCAAGGGTGGCATCTGATTCATTTAATAGGTGTACACCGAAAAGATCCTTCCTCCTCACTGAATTGAAAATTTTTCCCTTTTCACTTTACTACTGAATCAGTCCAAGATTTTGGAAAAAGATCGCAACTAAACCTAAATGTCATATAGTGAATAATTGCCTTATACGTGGATGGGCGGAATGTATGTTTTGTATAAACGTTGCCTATAATATTTATTGGCTGTAATAAAGTTCAAATCTAAATTAATATTGCAACGATTGCAAAGTATTTGAAAAATTTATCTGTAAAAATTTGATAACTTTCTAGATTAAATAATAAATAGTATAAATAATTGTACAGGTTTTAATGATATATGATTATAATTATGATAATACAATATTTATATTTTAAACGATAACACAAATGTATTTACCAATATATTCGTTATTACTTCCCCCCCCCCCATCCCCTTCACCCGAAAATTATTAATTTAGTATATACAAGTATATGCAACTGAATATCGATATTTATTAAATTTAATAATAATAATAATATTATATTTCGAGAAGCCATTATTTCATAAAATAGGAAAAATACTTAATATTTTAGGTAATTATTTTTTGCTAAAATATGTGTAAATAAAAAACTTAGATAAACATTTGTAATAGTTTTTAAATATATATTATAAAATGAATATATAATATTTGATCTACGGTATTAAATGAAAATTGAACAGAGATATAAATATTCCAATTTATTAATTAATAATATGAGTGACTATACGTTAAATGAATTTAATAGTTTAGAAAAAGATTAATTAATCAAAGCCCTTACGTTTTGGAATACAAATATTTCCCATCGATCCCTATCCATGTTACGCGATGTAAATTCATGAATAACAACAGAACAACAATATTCATAACATAGCTATTGAATAGAGTTTGGTACATAAATTGACCACCGTATATTACTTGTGCGTGTGTGCGTGTGTGGCTCTTTCGTTTAAAGAAAGTAAGAATAATTTATCTGGCAAAATGAATGCACAGAAGCGTCAACTAATCGTATAGAGGCAAACGATGAGGGCGTATTGGTGGGTGTATCGGAAGACGACGGATCGATGTTCATTTTACATCACGAAGTAAATATTTCTGACATATATTATATTTAATGACCTACACATTTCTTCTTTCGATCTTTTTAACGAAACAGAAATTATGAGAGACCACTTGTATTTATGTTCTAAAAAAAAAATAGATGTCTATCGATGTGTGAGCAAAATTATATTATCGTTCGAAAAATTATATTATTAATTTAATGTTTATTGAAAATTATGGTGATAATATTGTGTATAAATTTACTATAAATACAGTTATAATTATACGAAAATTCACTTATGTCGTCTCAATATAATATAAGTTATAATTATATGCATTAGAGTTCATACACGTAAATTTTCATATGGTTTATTTATTATTATATTTTAAATCAAGTTTGTAGATTGTTCATTCATAGCGAGATTTCTACAACAGTTTCAATGCTAATGAATTGAATTTAATGATTAACTTTGTTAGTTAAACTTAGGGTAGCGTAAGCGAGCACATATATTATTAAAAGAATATCAACTATAACTTACTTTAATTGAAATGTTTTTTTTTTTTTATAATTAATTAAAAATATGTAGAATTAATCGAATACATTGAATATTCGTTTTAATAATTAAATATAAGTTAATCTTATCAAATAAATTTCAATTGTGCTCGAAATTTTAACTTTTTATATTTATAATTAAGTATTTAATTTAAAATAATAATAAAAACAAATATAACCGTTTGAGTGGTCTCATTTTTTTTTAATTTCAGCTTTCGGCATAAATATGTTCCAACTTCCTAGTTAATTACTATATTTTCCTTATTTATCCGTTTTAATGTAAATTCATAATCATACAACTTTATTTTATAGCTTCCTTTTAACAAGGATTTCGTAATGCTCACAATATCCGTACCTTCTCCGTCATTTATCGTTTCAACATATATATATATATATATATATATATATATTCATAGATACATGCAGGACTTCGCATCGGCTCAATGCAATTATACGCATAAGAGACGGCTATCCGCCATTGTTCCTTAGGGTTGGGTCGGTTTTGCGGTGGACCGCCGACAGTGAGTGCTGATTTATTTCCCCAACGTGTCTCATTGTCGTAAACCCCATAAGGTTTCTCTTATTCATATTCTCTCTTACCCTCTCGCTCTTTTTCTTACCCTCTTCCCCTCTCTAACACAGTTTCTCATACTTTTTCGCTTGCACGCAATTGTATATTGATATATATTTATATTCCTAATCAATCGTTAAAATTTTCCTATGCGAGCGTATATCTTTGTTATGTGCTATATGCTATATGCTATAAAAAAATAATCTATATGTGTCATGTAGAGGAACAAATAATCACTCGCGCATATATATATTTTTTATTGTTTTAACGAACAGTCGTATATATTTATTGTCAAATTTTTTTCTTAAATCATACCAAGAAGTAGCTTTTGAAATACTTTCATCTTAAAATTAATCAAAACTTTTGTAAGTAGACCAAAAAATCTAACCATAATTTATCTAAATACCTGATATTTATAATGTATTTTTTTTTTTTTTTTTTTATATTAAACTATTATTTAAGATTTTATATGTTGAGTTTTAGTTAAAATGAAATATTTGATAGACTAATTTTATTAATTCACAGCAACTTCACATAATTTGTTTCCTGAAAACATCAGTCTATATTCCGTTTAACCCTAACCAATAAAATTCGAGTCTTTAATTTTAATCATTAAAGTTGTGTATTTATAAGTATGATGAGTTAGTAATGCCAACAAAGTATAAATCCAAACTAATTTTATATATCCTGAAGATATGAAATGTTCAACCTATTAGGTGTCAGTATATGTATTGCTTGCTTGTCATATTTATGTTGCATATATACAACATTTGTAAGTGTATTATTAGTAATTATGAAGTTTTAATCCATTATTATATTAACTATGCATCCCAATTTATTTAATAAATTCATTCTGTTAATTGTTATAGTGAAATGACGGGTATATATCGTATATAAAATAATTTTTTCAATTATTGATAGCAGCTTTGATATCGATATTAATAATTATCATATCTCCTTACTTACTCAATAGTCTCCTCTACAATGTAATAAAATAAATTTTATTATTATAGCAATGGTTTCATAAGACAATTAGCTTACGTAATTGTAGAGAAAAAAAAAGCATAATTATTTACATATCAAGATTAGAAAATGGGATTTTAATTAAAAAGTATTTGATAAAATTCTTTTTGCGCATAAATTTTCCTTCAAAAGCGATTATCAAAGAATTCAAATATTACTACAGGACAAAAGTAATATTACGAAACAACAACTCAGCAAGCACTTTCCATAAGGCCGAGAGAAATTGTTTCGTAGCTTAAAAATACATGCATGAGCATTTTTCAGGCGATGCTGTCGGATCCTTCAGATTCTCAAGTCAAGCGGAAGTGTACGCGATGTCCACCCTCTGTTACCCCGGAACGCTCGCCACAAGAATCTGTGTCGACCAAGGGACGCTGTCCTTGTTTTACGGCCCGCTACACTCAGCGACAGCAGCTCTCCGATAGCGCAATTCCCAATAGAAAGAAAGTTTGCCTCGTGGCGAGCTCCTTTTTCAACTTTGACGATACCGAGCCGGACAGCGCGCGAATAAGTGATTCTCGCATTTTTTTCATTTATTCGTTTTTTTTTTCTCTCAAACTTGTTGAAAAATTCGGTGATTGATCATTGAGTGATTAGCAGCGCATGGGACGAGGATTAGAGTTTAAAATTTTCTTCTTGCTTAATTGATAACAAACGCTCGATCAAACATTAACCTTACGCCAAATAATATTTACTTTGCTATGAATTTCATCCATCTATAAAGATTTACTTTGCTTACTATTTTTTTATTATTTATTAATTAATAATTTCATGCTCGTATTATTGATTTTTTATGAAACGATAATCTATCTAATCAATAATAGATAAATAACTATTTCTAACGTTTAATTACATGTTGAATTTTAGTTTAATATCCGATAAGATAATTTTTTCTACAGATTTAATATTATTTACCTTGATTCTTCGTATTATTTTAACGAAATTCAATTTCTCACCAATAGAAACGGGTAAGCGATCGCGCGATCCAAACTGTCACAATTGTGGTAACCAAAGGAGCTCGATTAAGAATTTATCACGGCATAAGGAGCGCAAATAAGAAGAACTTACAAACTGTACGAAATTAATCAATAAACTGATGTAAACGTTGAAAATGTACAAATCATTAAAAAGTTTTTATCAATATACATAATTATTTAAATATTTTATTGAAAATCATTAAACAAGTATATTATAGATTATTACATGATACTGTGGCACGAACACTTAAAAAAATTATTTTTGTTGTTTGTAGACAAATGGCAGTGAAGTATCCCCCCCCCTCCCCACCGCCCCATTAAAAAAAATAGTTCAACAAAAATATTTTTATTTTATTCTATAAAATGTATTTTATTGTATAAATTAATTTATTGTATAAATATATTTATTGTATAAAATATATACTTATTATTATAATCAAAGCAATTGTCAGTCGATATTCTTTTTGTTGTTGCCGTTGTTGTTGTTGTTGTTGTTGTTTTATCAAGTTTATGCTTTTAGACGTAACAGATGTCGGTAATGTATAATGAAAATAAATTATAAATCAGAAAGGGTATAAATCGAAAACCCTTATTGGTGCTGTAATTGCAAAAGGAAGGAGAAATATATTGTCAGGGTGCAACGAATGATTTTCTCAATATGAACGAAGAATTCTGTATCTACAGAGTATATTTATGTCGTAGTTCCTTTATATTTTTCAATAGAGGCAAAACGTTTCATCTTTATCACTTTTATTCTTAATTTCTACCGATTTCTATCTTACACACTAGTGCTTTTCTTTCCCATTTCTCCCTCTCATTCTAGTACTCTTCTGTTTTCCCCATCTACTATCTCTACCTCCCAAGTTCCTACCGTGTAAATAAGATAAACCACGTGGAAAAGCTTTGTGGCGAACAGAAATTCTAACAAAAGATCAGGAATGAACGAGATGAATAAAAAATAAATTGTTTCCGAATTAAATACACCTGGAGTATATCATTATATGTTATATATTATTTAGGTTCTGAAAAGATACTGATTATAAATGAAGAAGAGAGTATTGGAATTAAAATTATTATTATATCAATTACTAATATAAAAATATCGTGAATATTTTTGATGATTTGCATATTTTATACGATATTTATAAGAGTTTAGAATAAATAAACCATAATGTTCTATCAAATATTACTTAATTTCATTAACTCTTAATGTAACTTCCTGTCAATGATAAATAAAATACGAAAATATAATCACTAATTAATAATAATATAAAATTTCACATATTTGTATTTTGGAATAAATAGTCTCGAGTGTTTTTGAAGAATGTTATATTATTTCACGTAAACATTTCTGTTATACATTTATGTTATACATTTCACGTAAATCATTTTTATATATGAAATATTATTAGCCATATTTAAATTATAATTTAATAATAAATTAAGCAAATAATCTTAACGAGATAATAATTATTTAAATCAGCATTAGCACAAGGTAAATTGTATATTTATGTTGCGATTGCCTAACATTCATTTCACAAAAATACAACTTAAGTTAAAAAACACTTAAAAAATGTTACTTCAATTAAAAATCGCTTCATATATTTTTTAAAATTTTATAATAACCACTGAATGTTTTAAATCCTTATTATTTCAGATTTTATAGACTGAGTGTTTTTTTTTAAAACATTGCCATTTCCTGGCTTTTCAATTTAATTTCGTAATTTGTATTACAAAAATTTTTTAAACAAATAGAATTTAGAAGAATCTAGAGTATATGCTAAAATTGAAAAGAAATAAATTCAATTGTCAGAGAATGTGCGTACAAAAGGTGAATATAAATGAGGATTCACGGATCAGTTTTTGGCGGGTTTACAGAAGATAAAGTACTTTGTGGTTCTTACGCTACCACCGTTACAGGATTCGCGTATATTTATACTTTTTAACATGAATAAAACATGCAATGATTGATACGTAATACATATAAATGTTTTGATTAAAAAGACTGTCCTACATCGATAATAAATTTGTTAGTTACATCAATTGATTGCACAACTCTTGAAGTTTTTACGTATTAATTTAATAAGTTACTATAATTCTTTATTATATTAAATAATGTTAAATAATTGATACGATATATTCAGCTCATATTAATTTAATGTAAAATTGTAAAAATTTTATGATGTAGTTGAAGATGAATAATTGATAAACCATGTTTTAATACTGCGAGATTGTAAAGATATTAATTGAATTCATAATAAGAAGTAATGTAAAATTTTATATAACACTATATAACGAATAACGTTGAAATCTATTTTTTCTTATTTAAACACTTTTATTGATATATAAAATATTGGCTTTAATTCAAATTTATAATAGTGGTTTTATAATATATTGATCTAATTTTAATTTAAAAGAAAAAAAATATATTTTCTGTGATAATTGCAAGTTATATATATATATATATATATATCATAAGTGTTTAATAATACAAGAAATATTAAAATTTCCTTTATTATGGCATATAACTGTATAAGATTTAATAAGTTTTTTTTATTCAATGACTGATGTTTTACATCACAAATGTCTTATATCTACAGCCATGTTATAAATATTAAATTCTATAAAGATTTTCTGTAATGTATTCTATACTATAGCGAATACTGATTATATATCTGCAATTACAAGAAATGCAATTACGCTGGAGTGTAAACGAAATTCATGAATAGCTAAAAGAAAGAAATATAACGATGTACAAGTAAGTGGTAACTGTATACGACGTCCGTGTATGAGTTATCACGAGAGCTTAACACTTTACCGATAAATGAGTCTGTGTCTATTGGAAGCCATAAGTGGTAAGTCGGATTTGTAATTCAATAGAGAGGAGCAGAGTACTGCCTGTAATAACTTTAAGGATTGCCGACAATATCGTCTAATCGGACAGCGCATCTTGGACACCTGGTGCTTTGTACCAGGTGGAAAAACAAAGTGACGATAAGGCAGGTCACTTGGCAAGTCGAACTGAGATTACAAAGATTTTCCTTTTAAAATATCATTCGTAAACAAATTCGTACAATTTGTAAATATTACTTTTTGGTGCTTAAATTTGCATTTGTCATTTGATCTTCCATGATATTTGGAGGTATCTTAATTTTTTTATAACTTATTTAAATATTTTTCCCTATTTATTAATTTAATTATTTATTAATTCTTGTGTATTTTAATATTTGTATTAGATTCTCTTACACTTCACTATATACATGTATTATTTTTTATTATGGAGTGCAGTTCACATATCAATAGCCCTTTTTGTATTATTGGATACGATGTCGAGGCAACTATGGCCATAAGAAACACCGTCAATTTCTTCAAACTAAAATATAGAATATAATATCTATACGTATAATAATTATTCGCAATGGATTCGTTAGTTAGTGTACTATAGTTATTTTATAAAACAGTACATATACAATTTATAAAGTACTTTACAATAGCCGAAAGCTTAATTTTATGAATCCAAATTGTACTATGTAACTCACAGTTTTTTGTTTTATCAGTAAAAACGTATCTTAAAATAAATAAAAGTAAATAAAGATGAGTTATCAATAAATATCTTATATATACTTTATGTTCAATTCATGAACATTTTTTTAATGCAGAGTTAATATTAATCTGCTCTTACATGCACAATATAAACTATGTATATACCCAGTGCGAGTAAATTTATGATTAAAATATTTAATAATCACGATAATAATTGGCAATAAATTGGAATAAGCGAATGTGAATGCATACGTAAGTGTTAAATTAGGGTCTTTATAGAGCAAATAGCTTATCGGCATGAATTGTTTATTCTGTATTTGTTTACTTGCAATAAGAATTGAGCCCAAAGTTGGAGTGGATTCACATACTTGCACGGCTATCCTGACAATTGCGAAATATCAACTGGCGCACTCTCTGCGTTCATTTGCTTTGCTCTACTCTTGGAGAAATCGCGCGTGTGCTCGATTAACGCGACCATATCGTGTATGTATTTGGTACTACTCAGGTTAAATCCTTTCACATTATATGCATTGTGTTACGCTTTTGTATTCAGCTTTCGATTGTTTGATATTTTTTTCTTATCCATGATGTTACTCATATATGATTGCATCATCGTTTAATGTAATTACGTCGATACATCAACAGTCCTGGCATTTTGTTTTCTTAGACTCTTCAAATGTCTTTTACTCATTTTGCAGAATTCAATCTACTTATATATTTAAATAATTATCAATTACTTTATTATTAAGTTCGATATTAAAATTCATAAGAAATTTTTATAAAATTACTGTATCAACATTTCGTTATTATATACTGAAATACATGTTGCTTATGCATTGCTATTCATACATAAATAAAAATATTATTTAATATATAATAATAAAAGTGATGGTTAGTCAATGATAATTTTTTTAAGTAGTAATTTGATAAATCGACACTTTTAGCGATTAATGTAACTTCTAAGCAATTACACAAAGTAAATTATTTGAAAAAATATAATAGTACTTGATATAAAAAAATGTACACATCATTTTGAATAAAGAATTTAATAGTATCAATGTAGAGCAAATTAGTTTAATTATTAAGATATTGCAATTAATCATTCATTAAATATAATAATTTATTATTAATAATTGTCTAATTCTTAAATATTTATAAATATTTAATATATAACTATCATATTAAAAAAAAAAATTTCCGATTCATTTTTCGATAATGAAATGTACATGAAATATATATATAAACAAGAATACATTAAGTGAAATTGGGTGGGAAATATAGATTAACATACAATTTACAATTTCGTAAACCCCAAACGGATCCTTTTAATACAGAATATTTTTAAAAATAAATTATAATATAATGGCTACGTTACATTTATCTAAATGCATAAACAATAGAAACCAAAATTAATTGTCTAGTTCCTTATGTATTTTTTATTATTTCAATTTTTTTAATGCCGTGCTAGCTTATGCTAGCAAATAAAATTCTTAAAGTTAATAACATATTATTTGATTTTATAAAAAAAAAGTATTTATAAAGATTATATATAATACGTCGTGGTAGAAAAATAATGAAAAATAAATATCAAATTTAAATATTATGTTTAAATTATACATTGGATAAAAAATTTTTGTTAAGCCAAATATTTTATTGATAAAAATACCAACGTTTTATACTATCAAGATTGAAAATAAAAAATCAATAAGAAGGAAAAAACTATTATATAAGAAAAATGAGCGTATT